TTGAAGAAGACTTGAAACTAGAGATTGAGACCATAAACTCATGTTTACAATGTTTACTGAGGTAATAAATCAAGAGAGAAGTAGAGTCTGTCTCAGAGGTCGAGACACTTCTGCATTGCTTTACTTTTCAGAACCAGAGGTTGCCGCCTGGTTTTGGTGGTAAACTAAAGTATTGGACAAATATACATTTTGACCTGATGATGGCACTATACGAAAAGTCAGAGCATCACCAAAGCTATTCCCATTCTACCCGAGGGAACAAGAATGTCTGAGCCACATTTTATGGCAATGCATCGGATAGTTTGATATTGCATTCTGAACATTAATCCCCAGAATGATGCTGCTTAAAATGTTGTCAGTCAGTATGTTAGCATAACTCCAAGAGGACAAAACAGTGTCTGTAGACAAAACACAAGTCTTTTTCTTGGTAGAGCTTGTATACCCACCGCCTTCTTGTTCAGACCAACTCAAACCTCTTCACTTCTGTCATACTAACACTACCTCTGATGTGTAATGATTATTTTTATTACGGCCAAAACAAAGACAGGAACACAGCAGGAGAGTTGGCATGTGTGACGTTCAGCTTGAGTGATTTTAATGGTAATCTTGATGATGATAGAAATGATTTGGCTGTTACAGTATGTCTTTAAGGCGGGGCACATTCCATGAAGCAAGTCACAGTACAACCCTCCCACAGAGCAGCGGGACTATCATCTGCTCAGCCCACTCAAAATGGCTGATAGTGTATAAAAAGGAAAGCTGATAATAAGAACAATAGTCTCTGACTTGTCAGCGGTACGTGACAGTGACTGGCTGATATATGACGTCATTAAATCCATTATCAGCCTTGTCTGTCAGTGGACTGGCTGTAATTCTACCCAAAGCTTTGGTCTGCATCAGAAACCGTAGACTCGTACAGCACGTACACAGAGTATTGTTTCCATGTGTTGTCTGGGCTCTGAGGCTCTGAGCTCACTTCTTATGCTGCTCATGATGTTGGAACATATTTTGAGACTCATACTGTACTGCACAAGTTCAAAGGAGTTATAAATTGTAACTAATTACTTTTTTGATGCTTAATGAATCATAAATCATGTACTAAAACTCAATTGATCGGTTAGAAGCATTAATGAGAACATGGAGTGGACCAAAATCCATTTATCAACAAGTTATTAATAAGTCTTTGACATTTCATGATGAACAACCTTTAATGAATGCATTACTAACATTTACAACTGTACACTTGCTGGATTATTAGCAAGTGAGAAACTCATGAGTATTTATTTGCGCAGTACTAACATTTAGAACAGACATACACAAGTCATGAGAGTTAAGTTAATAATGGCCTACATTAAGGTTCCTTATTAGAGAGTGGCAGCAAAATATATCTTCCAAAACACAGAGACCGGATCACCAGATACACTTTGAAGCTGCAGTGCAGAGCGTGGCGTGGGGGACATCCAAGTCTTCCCACATGCAGGAACACACATTTCTGGCAGACCGGATGCTTAGCGCCGAGCTAGCAGGAAGCCGAGCCTTTTCAAATCCTTGATAACACATCTCAGACATTTACACACGCCGAGACGGCAGCGATGTGGAGAGGAACCGTGAGAGTCAGTGGATGAGACATTTATTGGTAGTACGCTCTGCAACACGCTCAAGATTGCTGTGTGACTAGATATGGCTGCTGAGAGCCGGTCTCACATCACGAGCAACAGAAGAAGACTCTGCTGTGCTGCCTCCTCAGTCAGTAAAGATACGCTCAGTGAATATGTGGCAAAGACAAGAATCCATTGTGGGGAGCCCAGTGCTTCAGATCAACAAATAATAACAGCACTTATTAAAACACACTTTCTGCTCATTTCTGCCCATTTCCCCCAAATGTGATTCTGAGGTTTTAAATGAAGGGGTTCAAATACAACACAAAAGACAAGATTCTTTGTGACACCAGCAATCATCTTCTATGAGAGCCTATCCAGAGACTTGATGACGCTCAAGTCCAACATGATTCACTGCAATCACTTACAGATCGTCAGACAAACCTCAATGTTTTTCTACCGCACTTCATCTCCCGATTCATCTGCAGTAAAGTGAGGACCGAGTGCCGTACTCGTACCATGCTTTTACTTGAAAACTTGAAATTGACTGGAATCCACAGTTAGGACATTGTAATTCCCAAATCCTGACAACGTCTGATGTCTTCACCTGAGAGGAAAAAACTAAGAATGGATGTTCAGTTCCCTGCTGGTTCCTGGCCTGTGCGAGCGAGGGGAGTGCCCAGGAATGTCTCCCAGTTGTGGCAAATATTTGGCCTGCCAGAGGGCAACACTTGAAACGAGGAAAGAAATGAGAGATCCTCTCATCTGCACTGAGCTGTAGCTTACACACACTAGACGCCACTGACTGTGGTGTGTGTGAGTGTGTGAAACTCATCAGCATGTGCCTGTGAAGGGTGGACAGCAGAGCGGAGCGTCCGCGTTGACTGCTGTTTACTTTGAACATGACTTTTTCCATTTGCTCGCCTCTGTGAAAAATACTCCACTACTCCTTTTTAACCTTAGCGGAGAGCTGTTGAGCCGACACACTGCTGCTTTATTAACAAAGTGCGCCGCTTCCAGACAGTGGGACACACTGGAGCCTGAGAGCTGCCCCTCTGTGGGCCACTGGAAGCTTATTCATTCACTCATGTTGGATAATGTAGAATCACGGTGATAAGGCTCCATTCTGTTCATGTCATTTGAACTTTCTCATTTAATTCACAGCTGATTTGTTACCTGTCTATGAGTATTACACCCAATACTGCATTTTAGAAATTAATTTTAAAAAAAAATCCTATTTGAGCATTTAAAGGATGAGCCTGTCGATTCTTTGCATTTTCTTTTGTAACCGTTAGTCCCTCTCTCACTACTTCCTGTCTGTCAGCCACATGCCCATTGGTTTGTACTGGAGGACATCAGGCTCTGTTTCTTCTGTCCAACCTTTCTTAAAAACACTCTTTTTCAAACTTGTTACCGTATTTGTTTTTACTGTGTTTTAGTCATTTGTTCTTAACGGAGCATTGTGGGATGCCTGAATCCATCCTCCATAGAAATAAAGGGCAGCATTATTGCTACACTTGTTGGTCCTCTCATGTTAGACTGAGGACAGACTGGACGCTACACTGACTCACTACAGCTTCTCCAAGTATACAGGCAGTGTTACAAGAGAGGACGAGCCGGGGCTAGCTGGTTAGCACAATACATAAACCTATTCAACATAATGTAAATGATAACACTGTGTAAATAATGTTTTTGTTGAACTTGTTATGCTTTAAACACATTGGCCCCTTCACAAACACAGGGAATAGTGCATTTGTTGGGGACTATTTTCAGCAGTGGATTAATCCACATCTGGTGCTCTAGTGTGTATGTGGGGCAGCAGGAGTGTGTGTGGGATTGAGGTTTTGGTTTCGACCAGGGCAAACATTTCAGGTTTCTGGGCAGACGGTTCACATGTGTGAGATCATTAGAATACCTTTCTTTACTTTCCCACTATGTGACCAAGTGGTACACACGGGACTGGGGTGAACTGTTTACAACGTGGAATCTTTTTTAAAGCACAGAAACATATCTTGTATCTGGTGGTATGCTGGTATCCATGTAACATCCAACTGGTGAAATATGATCTAGATTATGCGAGTTTGTGTCAATCCTGTACACCTGTTGCCATGCTACAAAAGGCAGCTGAGGCCAACCTTTAATAATATCTGCCACTTCCTAAAGGTATTTCACTACGAGTTCTTGTTGTCTCCTCTGTCATAAATAAAGCTTCTGCAGCTGCTGATTTGTAGATATGGGTGTGTTGTTTGGCCTCGAGCCAATCTTTGGCTTTTCAATCAAAGCCGTTCATATTAATGCTGTCTGTGGTTCAACTCAGCTCTTTCCACTACAGTCTGGTCCGCAGCAAAGCTTCGTACAACAACCCCTCCAGCCTGGAACATGCAACCGGCCCATGAGTGAGGCAGATAGGTGGGGTTACACAACACGCACTGTAGGTTTCTTGGACTAACAACGCTGTCTGGATAAAAGACAGCTGGGCTCATAATGTGCAAGGTGGCTAGATCGCTTTCCACTAGTTTACAAGAACAACAGACGGACAGACAGAGTCTACTTAAACCTACTTACAACAATCAGCGCTGAGAGCAGCAGTTAAGCATTAACACCGTACCTCTGTCCAACCAAAACACGCTGTATATTCTCTCCCTGTCTTTGTTTATCCGTCTCATAATCATGACGGGAAGCTCTGTGCTGCTAGCAGACCCACAGACCGGAGGGATTCAAGAAAACATGCTGACCCGGTTTAAAAGGAACGGTCTGTGGAACACAACTGCAGCATGCTGCACCAGATCCCAACAGGATTCAGCCACTAACGAGCCCACGATGAATGGATGGTGGCTGAGAACAGACAGACAACAGACCAGGCCTCTGAATAACATCAGTCCTTTAATTCAACCCTAGTATATGAAACTGTATGTTTTGTGCAGTGATAAAGCAGCACCAAACACTGCTTCAACGTCAGTGATACATAAAAGGGAGTATCAGAAGCATTTGCTGTTGTGGGGGTTATAGTAGCTGGATTATAGTCATTATAGTCCTCAGACAATCATTCTTAATCCTTTGCTACCTTTCACTTGCATCACTATCACTAGAAATCATATGTCTGCAGAAGCTGCTGAGGTGTTTCTTCATTCTGTGATTTTCACCCATGAACTACACAGGCCAACATAGTACACTCATACCACCCTGATCACCATGCAAACAAGCACTCTAGGTACTAAAGCAAAGCACTTCCAACACGTCACAATTCTGGTAAAGTATAGGAATTTAAATTGGGATGACCTAATAAAATATGTGAACTTGGGCAAAAAATGGTTTTAAATAAAGCATGTAACTGCCGGACAAATTAACATTTACAGAGTGAGACTAACAATTCACATCTGACAGCTGAACACTTCTGCTGGATTTATACCCCTGAGGCCGTGTGTCTATGAGCTCTGTGAGGACACCTCTCGCACATCTGACAGAGAAGCTCAGTGTATAAGAAACCATCCCTGTGTGCTTGTTGATCACTGGATTATACAATAATGTGCTCGGTACTAAAGGGATGTTTCCCTCTTGGGATACTGAACATTTATCATCCATCACTCTCACAACACCTCCTCCTCATGCCGTGATCAGCGGTACTACGGTGTCCACATCTCACAATGTTGTTACCGAGAAAGAGATGGGCTCATTAATATGAATAGGATTCACCAGTTCATTAAAAGGATTCATATATATATATATGAAATATAATTACTGCATGGCCTTAATAATGGTAATCCCATGACTTGGCTTTGCCTGCGTGTCAGTGTAGTTTACACTGGAGCAGCAGGGTGGAGGTGGTGCCAGGAGGAGATGGAGCTGCAGGGTGTGAGGTTATCTGGAGGCCTGAGCGCTCACTTTTGTAAACCACTTTGGGTCTGGAATGTTTCATTTTGATAGCATTCCTCATGTGTGCATGTAAAAGTGAAGAAGTGCAGCTTTGGCAGAGATGCTTGGTTCAAGAGGTGAGCAATGACAGACAGACAATCTGCTGTGTGTATGTTTTCTATTAATATGGAATTCATTTAGTCGGCATGTGAGAGGCTTTCTGCATGTGTTCTGTGCACGTGAGTGTTTGCATGTGCACACCTTACAAATACGCACATATATTATGCATTTAATAGCATGCATGTGGGTTGCATGTGAGTGGGCATGTGTGTAGGTATTTCCTATATATATATAAAAATATATCATGTGTGAGTGTGTGTGTGTGCATTGATCTAACCAGTGCAGACGCAGGGCGTGCAGAAAGGCGGACAGCCCCTCCATGACGAGCAGGATGGCAACAGTGAGGGTGGCAAAGGCCGAGAAGATGATAGACAGGCCGAAGAACCCGCCGCCGCTCCGGGAGGACAGACCCAGATGCATCACCATGGTCCAGAGCACCTCTGACAGCTCTGCACACACACACACACACACACACACACACACACACACACACACACAC